CGCGAGGAAGTCCCGCGCGAGAGTGCCATTTCCAAGCCACTCGCGAACAAAAAACCAAAGCGGGAACGTGATGCCTGAATATCGATGGCGCGGCGTTTGTATCATTTGTGGGGAAGTCCCTCGCGAGAGCGCGATTCCTGCATGACTTGTGAGGAAGTCCCGCGCGACAGCGCGACGTGGCAATCAAGTAGGAGGAAGTATCAGGCGGGAGCCGTTGTTCTTGTAGCCCCGGGGCCAGGGGCTTATGGGGGCCAGGGGGCCAGGCGTTTAGTTTCAGCACGGCGTGTTTTTTTGTTTCACATGAGGATAGGAGCCCCGAGTGGGGCACTTCAGTTGAACACGGCAATGTGCACTTGTCAGGGGGCCAACAACACATTGTTGTAATTATATGTCCAGGGTGGGATCTCAACAACAACAACAACTATACGTTTAAGACTCTTCGTTCTTATTTGCTCGCTTGCCATGCAACACGTATGTGCCAAGCCCTCGATACCCGCCCGATTCTGTTTTCGATAGGCCCCCTTCACGATTTATCCTTCTTACCTGCAACGTGTATTTCGTGCAGCCCCTAAGGCAGGGGAAAAGAGGACGGAAGGAAGAAAGGGACAAAAGGGCAGGCGGGCTGCTGAAGTCTCGAGAGAGAGCTCGATTCCTAAGTAAGTCGTGAGGGAATTCACAGCGAGGGTGTCATTCCTGAGTGTCGAGGGCGCGGCGTCTGCATACATTACGAGGAAGTTCCAAGCGAGAGCGCGATTCGTGCACATTGCGCGGAAGACCCACGCGAGAGCGCGATTCCTGAACGTATATCCCAAACCCTCGGTACCCGCCTCCTTCGTTTTCCGATCGTATCTCTTGAGGGGTAGATCGTTCGTACCTGCAACTTGTATAGAGTACGGATAGGGGGAAAGGACAAGGGGCAGGCGGGTTGCTGAAGCGTGCGTCCTGCATGAATCGCCAGGAAGTCTCGAGCGAGAGGGCGCTTCCCAAATATATAGTTAGGAAATCTACAGCGATGGCGTGATTCCTGAGTGTCGAGGGCGCGGCGCCTGAATACATTGCGAAAAAGTCCCAAGCGAGAGCGCGATTCTTGTATACACTGTGAGGGCATTCCGCGCGAGAGCGCGATTTGGGAATAATTTGTGAGGCGGTTTCACGCGGGAGCCGCTGTTGTTGGACACCAGGGTCCAGGGGCACCGTTTGGTGCCACTTCATTCTTCCTTACACAAACATGGCGCGAGCTCCGGGAGAAGCATTTTTTCCTAACAGCGAACACTGATAGGTTTCTAAAGGTTTCTAGTGGGGTCAAAAGAGAGCATCTTGACTCCCCAGGGGGGTCTGGGCGGATGCCGGGGGAATCCGGGGAATCCGGGGACTCCCCAGGACACCTATAGATTCCTATAGTTTCCGATGGATTCCTACAGATTCTGTTCCCAGAACACCACTCCCAGGCAACATTTTGAATGCCCGGAGCCAACTGTAGGCCACTTCGTGTTCTTCGTCTTCCTAGAACACAATTCCCAGGCCACCTTTTGAATGCCCGGAGCCAACCGTAGGCCATTTCGTGTTCTTCGTCTTCCCAGAACACCATTCCCAGGTCACATTTTGAATGCCCAGAGCCAACTGTGGGCCACTTCGTGTTCTTCGTCTTCCTAGAACACAATTCCCAGTCCACATTTTGAATGCCCGGAGCCAACTGTAGGCCACTTCGTGTTCTTCGTGTTCCCAGACCACCAGTCCTGTGCCATATGTTGCATGCCCGAGCTGAGGCAGGCTGAGGCCGAGGCAGGCTGAGGCCGAGGCAGGCTGAGGCTGAGGCTGAGGCACGCCGAGGCAGGCTGAGGCTGACGCTGAGGCAGGCTGAGGCTGAGGCAGGCTGAGGCTGAGGCTGACGCAGGCTGAGCCCGAGGCAGGCTGAGGCTGAGGCTGAGACGGCTGAGGCTGAGTCAGGCTGAGATTGAGGCTGAGGCAGGCTGAGGCTGAGGCTGAGGCTGATGCAGGCTGAGAGGCTGAGAGGCTGAGAGGCTGACGCTGAGGCTGAGGCAGGCTGAGGCTGAGGCCGAGGCAGGCTGAGGCTGAGGCTGAGGCAAGCCGAGGCAGGCTGAGGCTGAGGCTGAAGCTGAGGCAGGCTGAGGCTGAGGCTGAGGCAGGGCTGAGGCCGAGTCAGGCTGAGGAGGCAGGCTGAGGCTGAGGCTGAGGCAGGCTGAGGCTGAGGCTGAGGCTGAGGCTGAGGCTGAGGCTGAGGAGGCAGGCTGAGGCTGAGGCAGGCTGAGGCTGAGGCCGAGGCAGGCTCAGGCCGAGACAGGCTGAGGCTGAGACTGAGGCTGAGGCTGAGGCTGAGGCCGAGGCAGGCCGAAGCTGAGACAAGGTGAGGCTGAATGGGGGGGGAGGGAGGGGAGGCTGAGGCAGGCTGAGGCCGAGGCAGGCTGAGGCCGAGGCAGGCTGAGGCTGAGGCTGAGGCAAGCCGAGGCAGGCTGAGGCTGAGGCTGAGGCTGAGGCTGAGGCAGGCTGAGGCTGAGGCAGGCTGAGGCTGAGGCTGAGGCAGGCTGAGGCTGAGGCTGAGGGAGGCTGAGGCTGAGGCTGAGGCGAGGCAGGCTGAGGCTGAGGCTGAGGCAAGCCGAGGCAGGCTGAGGCTGAGGCTGAAACTGAGGCAGGCTGAGGCATGAGGCCGTAGGCATCCTTAGAGTAGGCATAGGCATGGAGGAAAGGCAGGCTCTGAGGCCTATCCGCCTTAGGAAATCCTTAGGGGCATAGTTAAGCGAACTAGGCTGAGGAGGAACCCTTCGGTTAGGTTCCGTAGGCATTTAGAAATCCGTAGGCATAGTTAAGCATCCTCAGGAATCCTTAGGAACATTCCCTAGGAATCAGGGAATCCACAGGAATCAGGATTCCTAAGGTTTCCGAGGGATTCCTATGGATTTCTAAGGATGCCTAAGGATGCCTTAGGAATCCCTTGGAAATCCTTAGGATTCCATTGGATCCTAGGGCCGTTGCCACTGTGACTGTCATCGCGAATGCGACTGCGACTGCGAGAACAGCTGAATTCTACAACTGGATTCTCATCTGGAACTTAAAGGGAATGCTTCCAGATATGCTCATACACATCGCTGTTAGGTTGCTTTGCCGGGATAATAATACAAACATGCAAATGGTTACCGGAGGGGGGAGGACCAACAATAATTATTTCTGTAGAAATGATAATTCAGAAACAACAACAGCACCAACAGCAGCAGCAACAACAACAACAACGACGCCAATCATGTTATCTGCGCCCGAGCCGTTCAACACGTTTACCCCAAGCCCCCAATGTCCGCCCTGTTCGTCTTCGATCGTCCCCCCTTGAAGCCTTAGGGGTATATCTCTCTTACCTGCAAGGTGTATTTCGTGCAGCCCCTAAGGCAGGGGAAGAGAGGACGGATGGTAGGATGGGACAAAGGGGGAGGAGGAGGATGAAGCACGAGAGAGAGTAGCAGGAGAAAGGGCCAGGAGCAGAAAGCACGTGGCCGAACCAGACGGGCAGATCGTGCGGGTAGGCCGTAATAGGCGGGTCGAGAGGGCGGCCCTAGGCGATCAGGTCGGGCAGGCGGGTTGCTGATTTGTGCGTCGTGCATGAATCGTGAGGAAATCTCGAGCGACAACGCGATTCCCAAATAAATAGTACGGAAATCTACAGTGAGAGGGTGATTCCTGAGTGTCGAGGGCGCGGTGTCTGAAAATATTGCGAGGTAGTCCCACGCGAAAGTGCGATCTCTGCATAGACTGTGAGGACATCCCGCGCAAGAGCGCGAACACGGTGAGGAAGTATCAAGCGGGAGTTGTTGTTGTTGTTGTTGTTGTTGTTGTTGTTGTTGTTGTTGCTGCTGCTGCTGCTGCTGCTGCTGCTGCTGCTGTTGTTGAACATTATTTATTCTAAAGAATAATTATTGTTGGGCCCCCTGGTGCGCGCCCCCCCTGCGCCGCCTAGGCCGCAGCTACATTTTCATCATTTTCGTGAGGAAGCCTCAGAAAAGAGGGTGTGTACAGGATCCGGTTGTTTTGTTGTAATCCGCTTTCCCTTGCAAAAAACAATAGAAAATGACATTTCTTGTTCTAATATAATCAAATTTCAAGAATCCCTTGCAAAAAATAAGGTAAAGTGGACATTCGCGCGCGCAAGACGAAATCCTTCCAAAACCTTAGTGTTCGCAGCGATTTTAACATAAAAACATCAAAAAACCAATGGTTTTTCAACAAAAAAATGTCAAAATCTCATCCCGCGCGCTCTTGCGGATTCGTAGGAAACCCAACACTTTTTAAACATTTCTGTCAAACGGGCTTTTGCGAGCAACTTTTTCGAACTTCTGCAACAACGGTTGCGCACCTGCCAGGGCCATCATCCCTGTCAAATAATACCATGCGGGACACATTCGTTTTTTCTTCGCGCGCGCACGCCGTCGTCGTCGGCCGCGGGGCCCTGAATAGTAGCCACGGTCGTCCGCATGCCACGAAGTGAAGTGTCCGAACGTCATAGGGCGGGAAGCTGGGTGTGGGTGGTGGCGAAGAGTCGTTTGGAAATTTGGTAGAGCTTGAACCGGCCCCCCCACAAAGTGGGGGTATTGCCCGCCTCCTATGAAAACCCTGGCACTGGTGAGAACGGAGTGTCCCCAGTCTTAAATGATTGTTGTTGTTGTTGTTGTAAGCCGGGTGCCAACAACACAATTCTGAGACCCAAGATTGGGTGTGAGCCACATGAAGGGCACCTCTACTGGAAAACACAATCTGCCCTCGACAATACGTAGTTTTCAGAAATGAGCATTCAACCACATCACCAACAATATCATCAATAACAACAGCAACAACAAACACTATCACTGTGAAGAACAGCACCGCTACCACCACCATCATCAACAACAACAGCAACAGCAACATCAGCAGCACTAATAACTACCAGGACACCACCAAGAACAAAAACAACAGCACCGTAGTGTTTGTTTCACGACGCGATGGGGTGGCACGGGAGCCAGGCCAACCGGGACGTCCCAGCGCCGAGCCCGCGCATCAGCCAGAGGGTGCCGGGGCACAGGGCAGGCGAGGCGTACACTCTGCGCTTGCTGGTTGCCAAGCGGCCGGGCTTCCCCGATCCCTGGCTGAGGGTGTTGGCCGGGGGCGATGAGCTGGTCAGCCTGGAGAGCGTCGGCGAGAGCTTCACGGAGCTCTGGGCGGCCCAAATTCAGAGGTCCGCGGACGACTTGTGTGCACCGTGCCGCGCTCGCGTCCCCCGAGACATCGTCGATCCTCGACCCCGTAAGGGTACGGTGCACAGTTCTCTGCCCCCCAGGTCCGAACAGGTGTGCACAGTACCCCGCTGCAGTGGGGCATGGAGGGAGTTCAGACGTGGTGCATGTGCGCCGTTGTCGTAAGAAAGGGGAAGATGCTACTACCCTTGCCTCGTTTTTGCCGTTTTGGGCGCCCTGGGAGGCCCTCGTCGCCACCGCTTGATGCGCCTCGAAAGTCTAACTAGCCAGAACGCACCATGGGAGAGGTCCGGGGAGTACGTATGGGTATTTGTTGGTTTTCCCACAAGCCGTGACGCGTCAAGCTAGGTCGAAGGCACCGCGCCGCATCGCCTGGCGTCGCCGTTGCGGCGCGATCCGCAGGACGATCTTCTTCATCCCGATTCGTCGAAGCATGCAAGATGGGCGCGGGCGCGTGGTCCTCGAGATGAGTTCTAGCTGCAGTCTGCGCGCTTGCATCGCAGCCCAGCCATCGCACGGAGTCGGGACAGGCGAGTCGTTGGTCATCGGCTGTCCGCACCTCATCCTATTCCATTCCTGCATAGATCTAGGCCAGTGCGGACTTCAAGCAGTGCGTCATTGCATTGTGGAGGTAAAGGCTATGCCGTGTAAGCTATGTGGCGTAAGCTATGTCGTGCAAGCTATATGTGGTGTGAGCGATGGAGTTGAGCACTGTGCGGTGCCACCTATGTGGTGCAAGCTGTGTGGCGTGATATTGGCGGTATGACTTGCGGGCGAAAGTTCTGGGGTGTAGGTTATGTAATGTAAGTTAGGTTGCGCAGCATGCGCGGTGTATGCTACGTGGTGTGGGCTATGTGGTGTGAGATATGCGGAGGGACCTATAGAGCCATGTCGTGTAAGCCCAGAGTACGGGGCGCCCACCAGGCGCCCACGAGGGGGTACGCACCGCACTGTGGAGACAGCCCAGCACACCCCCCAAGCGCGGGGCGCCCACGAGGCGGCACGGGCCCGCAGCGTGGTGAACACGCAGCACATCTCTCCAGCTATACCTTAGCGAGCCAAGCACGACCCCCTAAGGGCAACCCCCTAGTGGTCCGGAAGTTGGCCTTTGCGTGTCGCTCCGCCAGTTCTGGCCCACCACGTTGCGGCGCGACACGCTGTCTCCGTCCCCATTCCCAAGCGCCACCGCCCCGAGCGGTTCCCAGTCTCCCGCCCCGCCGAGCCGCTGCGACACGATACGCAGACGATCCCGACTGCCTTCTTCATCCCGACGCCGCCGATGCATCCCCGAGGCGTCGGCGGTGTGGTGTGACCTTCCAACCCCCGCCCGCTTCAGCCTCATTGGTCGGGGGCGGCCTGACAGGAGCTCAGCCTGCCCTACCTTGCCCGCAGCCCGGTAGTGGAGCTGGTGGTCGAGAACGCTGCAGTGGAGGGGCAGGAATCAGAGGAGCAAGAAATTGCATGTAACACGCTAGGGTTGCGTCGTCTCGACCAGCGGTGACTCCACCGCCGTCGTTCAATGTTGAACATCGTTGGCGACCCAGAATCGGTCGATCTTGAACGATCTGACGCTTCGGAAACGCCTGATTGTTCAAGGTGAAGCGATCCCTGCGGTGTCAGGAACCAGCGCCAGGGTCGGCACGACACGAACTGCCGTAGGCACGGCTCGCTCCAGAAAGGTCTTGGCCTTCGAGAACCGAAGGAGTTGGCACTTCTTTCTCGGAGGAAGGCAGCGAAAGGTCGGCGGAAGGCGGCAGAAGTAGAGCAAGATTGTTTCCGCTGGCGGAAGCTGGCGGAAGTAAAACATGCATCCCAAAGAGATAGCAACATTTGTTGGTTCATGGTTTGAGGACTTCGAGGCGTGTGCAGCCGTGGCGATGGGGTTGCTCCCTCCCCGTGGAGGCCTCCGGAAGGCCCAGGCAGCCCGAAGCAGTACATTCCTCATTCTCGATCTTTCTTCCTCCCTCTTCCTCCCTTCATGGAGGAACAGCAAAACCTGCAAAAGCATTCGGAGTTCCGCGCGGATTTCCTGGTTCGGCGCTGCGCTCCCCTGGCGGCGCCTCCGACGCCGTGTCTGGCGTGCTCCGCGCGCCTTGGGGGGGTGAGGCAGTGCCAACCCAAGAACTCCGCCCGAACCTCCAGGAAGTTGGCTAGTCTCGATTCCCCGACCTGCGCCGCTTCTTTCATTCACCAGGGGAGGTATGGACCTTTCTCCCCGGGCGGGTTTCTCACCCCGAACGTTTGCAAACAGAGGGGACCTTTCTCCCTGGGCGTGTTGCACATAGAGGAGGTCTGCTGTCCCTGAGGTCCGACGCCGAGGAAAAGCTGCAGCATCACGGAACATTCTCAGCATCTCTCCGCAGTATTCCTCGGGCTGCGCTTGTCTGTGCACCTTGGTCGGGCCCAGAATTGGGCGAAAGCGCCCAGCTTGGAACAATTGCAACGCCCAGATCTTCGCAGGCCTAGAGGTTGACACCAGCGCACATATATCGGCGGTGTGCCTCCACCGAGAGAAGAGGATCCCGATCTCGGTAATGGTGGTAATATTGTGACTTCCAAGGTGACCGAAATATTACCGCCAACACCGAAATGACCAAAATGCATGGCCAAAGCGACACTGCAGTCTTGTATATAACTGTGATACACATGTATGTACTTAAAGCGGGCATATATATATATATATATATGCGTGGTTTTAACAACAGTTTGCGTAGGCGAAACGCGAGGGGGGCCGCACTGACTCGTCAGCTCATGCCGATGCTACGCCGTCGGCATTGGGGCTCAAGTGCAAGCGATCGATGCAGGCGATCAGCTCTTTCTTCAGCGAGTTCCTTCAGCCCGCCGGCACTGCTGCCATAGTCTGGGCTGCTCGCCAGGACTGCCCAGCCTGCGTCTGCAAGCCGTCCGTGACCGGCGGCGGGGGCGGGGCGCCCGTCGTCACGCAGGAGGCGAGCTGGGCCGAGGCCTCGCTCCGCGTCTTCGTGCTCGGGGCGGTTTTTGTCGCGGGCCTGGTGCTGGGAGCGGCTGGGCAGCTGCTTTTCGGGCCGCGCGTGGCCGGGCTCTCGGCGACAGCAGCGCCAGCACCGGCGGCGATCCTCTCGATTGACGACGAGGCTCGGGCGCAGGCCGCCGCAGCGCGGGTTCGGACGCTTGGCGCCAGCTCGCAGTGACTGCGGCCGTGCATCCGCTGCTGCAGCTGGGCGTGCAGCCCGGCGACTTCATCCTCATCCGCTACAACGTCGGCGGCCAGCGACTGTGGCACGAGAGGCTTGTGCTGTGCCTCGCGGTGGCTCCCCCTTGGGGGGTGGGCATCCTCACCCCAGACGGGGACCCCTACGTGGAGGTCGTCATCGGGGGCGCCGACATCGCGGCGTGTGTAGTGTGCGACCTCGGCGCGGCGGGCGGCGGGGCGGCGGCGGTCGGCGCTGATGCGACCTACCACTTTCGAGCGATCCCGCTCGCGGCCGAGGTCGCGCAGGGGCTGCAGGACGTGGTGACGACGCTGGGGCTGCCGGCTCAGCCCGCCGTCGTGCCGAACATCGGCGGGATGGCCGTCGCGCCGGCGGCAGCCGCCGCGGCCCCGGCGGGCGCCGCGGGCGCCGGCGGCGCGGGCGCCGCCGCGGGCGTCGACGAGCTGCCCGCCGCCCTCGCAGGCGCTGGAGTCGGCGGAGCGCCGGCGGGCGGGGCCCTGCCGGGGCGCTGTCGGCGGCCGCGCCCTGCGCTGGGGCTGGTGCCAGCAGCGGCGGCGCCCGTGGCGCCCGCGGCGGCCCTCGCCGCCGCACCGCCCGCGGCGGCGCCGGCGCCGCCCGTGGCCATCGCGCCGGCTGGGGCGCCGCCGATGGCCGCCGCGGCCGGCGCTCCCAGGGGCGACCTGGGGATCATGCCCGTGCAGCTCGACGTTCGCGGGGTGCGGCACCGGCCCTTCTCGGAGGCGGTGAGGCTGCTCTCGGAGGCGCCTTTCGCCGACTGGCCGATCGACGGACCGCGGACCTTGGCGTGGGTGGTGGACTTTATCGGGAGGGTTGCCGGCACGCCGCTGGCCTGGCACCAGAAATTTCGGACGGACGGCCAGCTCGATGACGACGAGCCTGGCGTGGCCAATCACGAGATGATGTGCCGCCTGCTAGAGGTGGCGCTCTGCTGCGACCAGCTCCACGGGTCGAACTTCGCGTCGATGGAGCTGGTAGCGAGGTCGATCCAGACTGAGAACGAGCGGTACCGCCACAGGTTCGAGAGTACGGACGACCTCGCCGTGAACCACAACCTGATGATCGGGATGACGCACGGGCGCGGCCACATCTACGTCTGCCCTGCCCTCCGCGACTACGTCGCCGCGCAGCTCCAGAAGGAGGCCGCCATCAGCAAGGGGCGGCGGAAAGCCCGCGAGGAGCGGGCGCTCGCAGCTGGAGCCGAAGGCGACCACGGCGGCGGCGCAGGACGGTGGCGTGGCAAGAAGAAGAAGAATAAGAAGAAGGAGAAGGGCGGCGGTCGTGGGGACACGGCCGCCGCTGACAAATGAACGGCGAGGCCCGCGGCAGCCTGGGGGACCGGCAGGTTGGCCGTCGAGACGATACCACCGGCCAGGCAGCCTGCAGCGGGTTGTCCGAGGCAGGGCGACAGCGAGATCTGTTCCCCATGCCTCTCGTGGGCGGCGTCGGGAAGGGCGCCCAGCCTGACCTGGGCCGCCGCTCACAGCGACGACAAGCCGTTCATGCTCATCATCTGCACCGGCTGAACGCGGCAACCTCACCTTTGAATTCGCTCTACGGCTGCCTAAGTGTTGTCGGGGATCCAGTCAACGAGAGCCAGCAGGTGGTCATACAGAACTTGAACACCGCTCTTCATCGGCTCGGGCGTCAACCGGAGCAGTATGCTGAGACGCGTGAGTGCGAGGACGGAGCCCTCGACGAGCTCCTCCAAGGCGTCGCCATTTATGGAGATGGCGCCTGCAAGCCGTCAGTCCCGCATAGCCGAGAGCAAATCTCATGGCCGTCGTCGAGCTCGGCACCGGTGGAGTCGTCTACCCTCGCGGGCTTCCCGGAGGCGGCGTGCCTGCGGGTTTGGCGGAGCCAAATGCTAAGACCAACGAGGGAGGCGAAAGAGCTCCAGGCTGCAGCGTGCCCGAGGGGGGCGCACTGTGATCAGGGGCTTGTCGGCGACCCCCGGACCTATGCAGAATTCCTGGGCAAGCTCCACGGCGAGGGGATGGTTGACTTCTCTGTCGCTGCGGACGCCAAGGGCACGGTGGGCGTGTTCTTCGTCCCGAAGAAGAACGGGACGCAGCGCATCATCCTTGATACTCGTATCGCAAATTGTTTCTTCAGAGCGTCTCCGAGGACCAGACTGCCCACCGCGGCGGCCTGGGGCTCAGTGGAGGTGCCCTCCTCTGGGGCCTTCATGGCCACGGCGGACCTGGGGTGCGCTTTCTACCACGTGAAGCTGCCGGACGGGATGCAAGAGTACTTCTCGCTCCCGGCGATCGACTCATCTTTCTTGATGGAGGCCGGGCTCGGCGACTTGCCCTTCGGGCCGGGCGCGATGCTCTCGGCCCGCGTGCTGGCGTTGCCCATGGGCTCCACGTGGGCCCTGCACCTGTGCCAGGACGTCGCCGCCAACTGCCTGCTGAGGAGCGGCGTGGACACGTCGAGCGTGATTGTCGACGGGCAGGTCGGGATCGAGCTTGGGCCATCGCGGCCCGTCGCCGCCGGCGCCTACGTGGACGACGTGGCGACCATCGGCACGACGGCAGCGGCGGCGAACCCTGGTGAAGCGCTTCAAGGAGGACGGCCTCGTCGTCCACGAGTTCGTCGAGGCCTCGCCCGACACGCAGTTCTTGGGCCTGCAGCTGCGCGCCGGCAGGGCCCTCACCGCCAAGGCGAAGAACGTGCGGAGGCTGCGCGCCGCGCTGGGCGGCCTGCTGCGGAGGCGGCGGGTCGCCGGCTACGCGCTGCGCGCCGTGCTGGGGCACGTGACGTGCATGGGCATGCTCAGGCGCGAGGCCTTCACGACCCTGCACGCCTGTTACGCCTTCGTTGAGGTGTTCGCGGGCCGCCCGGGCCGCCCGTGGGACTCTGCCGTTCGGGAGTTGACGGTCGTCCGCAACCTGCCCCCGGTGCTGCAGGCGGACCTCGCCGCCGGCTGGCGCAGCACGATCGCGTGCAGCGACGCCGCGCCGGGAGGGCTCGGCGTCGCCCGCCAGCGGCTGGATGCCTCGACGGTCGCGAGGTGCGCCCGTTTTTCCGAGCGTTGGCGCTTCGAGGTTGCCGTCGCTCAGGCAGCCCGCGAGTGCTCGCTTGCCTGCGGATCAGCATCTGCCCACAAAATCTGATATCGAGCTGCTGACGCTGACCGGGCGGCCGCCGAGACCCCCGACGGCTACATAGAGCCGTTCCGTCCCTGGACTTCTCGGAGGCCCCGCTCGTGGACCCCCTCATGGACTCCAGCGGGGTGCTCAACAAGACGCCCGGCGAGGACCAGGAGGACCCGGGGGGCTTCGCAGTGAGGTTCGAGGAGGCCCCTGCAGGCATCGCCGACTTCCCGGCATGGCGGCCTTCAGCGGCCGCCCAGGTCTCAGGCGGGGCCAGCGCCCTGTCTTTGGAGGGCGAGGGCCTCTGCTTGGCCTACCGTCACCTTCTTCGGGTCTCTGGCAGCCTGGGCGCGAGGATGTTGATCATAGTCGACAATCTGCCACTTGTTCTGGGGGTCGTCAAGGGTCGGGCCACAAGCCGACGCCTTCGTCGCTGCCTTGGCCGGGTCTGCGCTCTCTCAGTCGCCGCCGGCTCGAGGCTGCGCGTTCGTTGGGTGGCCTCAGAGCGAAACGCTTCGGACGCAGTCAGCCGTGGGCGCTATGGCTGGTTCAGCGGGCGGCGCGTGCTGCTCGGGCCCGCGCCCCGCACGCCTACTGCTCGTCGTGGCGGTCGTCACGGTGGGCCCCGCGGGCGCCGGCGCAGCCCGGATGTCGCGCGTGCCGAGCGCGGGGGCGGCCGCAGCCAAGCGGCGGAAGGTGGCCCAGCAGGCGCAGGGTTCACGGCCGTTGCTTGCCGGCCTGACGCTGCTCGAGACGCCGGCCGTTCGCGCGAACACCGAGAGGAGCTACCTCCAGATACTGAGCAACTTCGTGCAGTGGTGCCGCCAGCACCGCCAGGACTGGAAGACGTTCGACGAGCTCGACGCGGTGCTGTCCAGCTACTTCTCGGACCACTTCTTGACGGGGACGGCGTGCAACATCGGGAGCCAGGCGCTGGCCGCCATTGCGCGCGCCACCCCGTCCCTCTTCAAGCAGACGGTGTCCGTGCCCCCCCGGGCCTCGAGGGCCTCAGCCGCGTGGAGGCGCCGTGCCCCAGGCAAGACCCGCCTGCCACTGCCCCGCTCCGCGGTCTATGCGATCGCGGGCTGGCTCATCAGCCGCGGATAGATGGGGATGGCCTGCTGGGTGGCGCTGGCGCTTGAAGCGTACCTAAGGCCAGCCGAGGCGCAGAGCCTGACGCGCGAGAGCCTTGTGCCGCCGGCCCCAGCCGCGGGCGCGAGCTACACCTGCAGGGCGCCGATGCGCCCGCTGGAGCGCGGGGTGGCGGGGAAGACTGGCCACTGCGACGACAGCGTGGTGATCGACCAGGCTCCTGTGTGGCCGGTCCTGGCGGCGCTGAGCCGCGACGGCGCCGAGCGCCAGCCTGTGGACCTTCTCGCTCGACGACCTCACCCTGCAGTTCAGGGCGGCCTGCCAGGCGATGAGGCTCTCGTCGCTGAAGCCGCACCTCTACAGCCTCCGCCACGGAGGTGCCTCGGACGACCTGGCGGGCCGCCGCAGCCCGACCGAGGTGCAGAGGCGCGGGCGGTCGGCGGTGGCGTCGTCGATGCGGCGCTACGGCAAGGAGGGCTCGCTGCTGGACGAGATGGCACGGGCGAGCCCGGAGGTGTTCGCGTTCGGGGCCCTCGTCGAGGCGAGCTTCGGTGCCCTCCTCGAGCACGGCTTCCGCGGGATGAACCTCTACGGCCAGGTGCCCGCGGCGGCGATGCCGGCCCTCGCCAAAGCGCCCGCGACCGCGGGGCGGCGGGGCCAGAAGCGGCGGGCGCCCCGCCGCTGAGCGACGCGGCGGCCGGCCTTCCAGGCCCTCCTGCCAGACCCTGCGTGGAGATCGGCCAGGCCGAGGGGGGCCAGTGCAGCCGGCATCTGAAGCGGCGTCTGCGACAGGCCCTCGCCTCGGGGCGGACGCGACGGGTCGCGCTGGAGCTCTTCGCCGGCTCTGCTCACTTGACCGAGGCGCTGAAGAGGCGCAAGCTTCCAGCCTTGGCCCTGGATCTGAGCCGGGGGCCAGTCGAGGGCCATCTGTGTCGCGAGTTCCGCTCCGTCCTGAAGGGATGGCTGGCGGGCCGAGGTGCGGGCGCCGTGTGGCTCGGCACTCCCTGCGCCACGTGGGCGCAGGCCCTGAGACAGCCGCTGCGGACTCGCGCACGGCCGATGGGGCGGGAAAACCTGCTGCCCCACGAGGCCGCCAAAGTTCGCGTCGGCAACAGAACGTTCCACTTAATTATCTTGTGACGTGATCGAGCTGCGCCAGCAGCTGTGCATCCTTGTGTTCATTGAGAACCCCGCAGACTCGCTGCTATGGAAGGCGCGGCGGCTCCAGCGACTGCTTCAGCTTCCGTCGTGCCAGCTCTGTACCTTCGACTGCTGCCAGTTCGGCGCCCCCTGGCGCAAGCGGGCGACAGTGGCGGCGCGGGGGGCGGTCGACTTCTCTGGGCTGCAGCGGCGGTGCTCCGGCCGACGCGGGACCTGCTCGCGGTCCGGGAGGCCCCACGTGATCCTCACTGGCCACACCGACGGCGTGCACCTAACTGCGCTGGCTGCTGCCTATCCGACCCCCTTCTGTCGCGAAATGGCAAAGCTCATTGAGCACTCTGTGCACAGTCAGTCGCACAAGCATTTAGTTGACATTGTGACGAGATAATCTCCTGCATCGAATGTTTATTTATTTGACGGCCTGGCGGCCAGTTTCTCTCCGTCGGGGTTTGGGAGTCAGTTGGTCCGTTTCGCTGTTTCAGCCTGTCCGCTCGCGTGTCGACGCCCGGGTCCAAACGGGCATCGTGCGTCAGCCTGGCTCCGACCCACACAGATAGGCCTTGCTCGGAAAGAAGTCGTCGGGCCCTTGCTCCGTTCGCGGTGGCTGCCGCCACTCCGCCGCCCCTGCCCCTTCTGTCGTGCCGGGCCGTTCAAGAGCTGGCCCTCGGGAGTGGAGGCGGGCTGCGTGGTTTTAACAACAGTTTGCGTAGGCGAAACGCGAGGGGGGCCGCACTGACTCGTCAGCTCATGCCGATGCTACGCCGTCGGCATTAGGGCTCAACGTGCGCCCGCGCGCGAGCCACCTTGTCAAAGTTTCCTTTGCCGTGCCGTCGAATGCCCTCAATGAGGGGAGTCAGTTGGTCCGTTTCGCTGTTTCAGCCTGTCCGCTCGTGTGTCGACGCCCGGGCCCAAACGGGCATCGTGCGTCAGCCTGGCTCCGACCCGCGCAGATAGGCCCTGCTCGGAATGAAATCGTGGGGCCCTTGCTCCGTTCGTGGTGGCTTCCGCCACTCCGCCGCCCCTGCTCCTTCTGTCGTGCCGGGCCGTTCAAAAGCTGGCCCTCGGGAGTGGAGGCGGTCTGTATTTATATATATATATATATGTTCCCACCCTTAGTGATGGTACATGTTCCTTGTGCTTGGTGCTTCATATTTTTCCTCGCCTTCGTCGTGACCCTCACGCTGCTCATATTTCCTGTTCCCTTCCTCATTGCGCTCTTCCGCCCCTTTTTCCTTGTTTCTCGTATGATTCGTCTTCCTGCAGCTCCGGCTACGGATCCGACCACAAGCATTCACAGGGCAGTCAGTACAGCTCACAACACAGCTCCTACAACAATCCATACGACAGGCAGCTCAGCTTTCGCAGTTCGCACTACAGCTCCTGCCACAATCATTGCCACCGCTTTGCTACAACGTCTATTGAAAATTCGACTACGTCTCCTCTTACAGCTCCCATTGCAAGTCTTACTGCAGCCATCAACACGACTCTCACTGTTTTTTTCCGTTGCATCCCCGACCTCAGTTTCTTGGTTCTGCTACGATTTAAAAAATCGCAACTTCACAGTGCAATGAGCAGCACAGGTCTCACTACAGCTCATCATACAATTCCTACAAAAGCATTTTCCACACGTTATCTTACAGGTCCTGCTGCAAATCCAATCACAGGAACCAGTACAGCGCGCAATGTAATTCGCGCCACTTCAGATCAAATTTGGCTCAATATTCAGGCGTCCAGGAACACAGTGCTTGTGCCAGCGGCTCTGCGAAAGCAGCCGGATTGTGGAACGCGTCGCGGGACCATGTTTCCAATGGCCTCGGTGACGGCTCGCTCGGTCTTGGCCGCCCTCATTTTGGCGACGGTCGGCGGAGGCAACGAGGTCAACGACGCATTCTGGGGCCTGCTCGACGACGTGGCGACAGATGGTAGCGACAAGAGCGATGTCACCACAGTGGCGGATATGCTCGATCACGGTGCTGGAATCCAGGTCGAGGATTGGCGAAAAGATGGACGTGATGCACGTTGCGCGCACGGAGTTCAGCCGCGCCCACCTCCAGGTGCGCGCCTACGGGAACCTCTCGCGCAGCGTGTCGGGGGGCACAGTCAGCGTGAAGATGTGCAAGGGATCGGTTGCCGGAGGGTCGTCCACTGCAGATTGGATGAAGCGCGAGCTCGCGTGGCACAGTGTCCCTCACAAGTACGAGGAGGAGCTATGCAAACACTTTGGCAAGAGCCACAGCAAACGTGGCTGCCCCCTTCCCGCTGGCAATATCGAGCTGCGCTTCGCCCTTGACAAGCTGCCGCCGATGGTGTTAGCTGGCGCCTACAGGTTGAAGATCAGAGCCATCGATGCTGCCGGCAAGCACGTGGCGTGCTTGCAGGCGAACGTGCAAGTCCCACGGGGCAAGAGCGGCGAGCTCTTCCGACGGATTCAAGCGTTGCCCAATGCTCACAATGGACGGGCTCTGACGTCGGGAGCTTCAGATTGCAACTGCGACTTCTCGGACCCAGTTTGCGGTGATAACGGGCTGACCTGCGACAGCGCTTGTCAAGCCCATTGCTCTAGTGTCAAGGTTGCGTATACGGGCAAGTGTGGCGATCTGTTACTTTCGGTAGGGAGAGCGCTTTCATAGGATAACGGTTGCGTAGCCCAGGCCCACTGCTCATGTGGGGACAACTTGACGTGCACAGAGGACCCTTGCGGACCGTACACGTCGGCTATGTGGACCGATACGTGCAATTGCATTGACACCATCGAACTGTCAGCAGGGTGTGCCATGGATGTCTCAGATGCGGTGCAAGGGGCAGGAACAAGGTGGGGACCATTCTACAAAGACACTTCTGTTGCGCACGTCGGCATCGACTATGACACTATACGATCCATTAGGGTGTAGCCTGCGTATCAGACCTGTGAAGACGTTGACGACTGGGTCTCACCTTATGGTTCGACGTGCTTACAGTGGAGTCAGGAAGGCTGGTGCATACCGTCTGGTGAGTACCCTTCGTCTTGGGAGTATGAATGGGGCCTACTCGTTCATGGGGCATATGCCTACTGAAGCGTGCTGTGCCTGCGGAGGCGGAGAATGGACTTGCGAGGGCGACAAAGATGAAGTGGCCTTGAGAGTTTTTTCGGAGAAGAGTGCACCGATACAGCCGCAGAGTGCTACGACACGCTGCATCGTTCAATTTGTTGCGACACGTGCAGTGGCGTCATGGACCAGTGCGTAGACTATGACGACTGGGTCGTAGAGACCGTCGGCCAATGGGGATATCCATACAGCGGTTGCTCGGATATAGCAGGACTTTGCCTTCAGCCTGAGCAGAACTACTGGCTGTCGCACGTGTGCTGCGCCACCTGCAGCACGACCACCTGCGAAGGAGACGACGACGCCTCGGCATCGCTTGCAACAGGGGCCAGTGGCTGCTATGAGGCCATGACCTGGGGCTGGTGCGAAGATTTTCAGTTTTACCACACTTGTTGCGATACGTGTTCCAAGTGCGACTGCGATGATAATTGGGATCCAGTCTGCGGGTACGGTGGCATGACCTATTCGAACTCGTGCGAGGCCGATTGCTACGCGAATGGCTACGAGTATTGGGGGGAATGCGCAAGTGAATGTGACTGCGAGGACAACTGGGAGCCGGTCTGTGGATACGATGGCATGACCTATTGGAACTCGTGCGAGGCCGATTGCTACGCGAATGGCTACCAGTATTGGGGGGAATGCGAAAGTGAATGTGACTGCGAGGACTACTGGGGCCCGGTCTGTGGATACGATGGCATGACTTATTCGAATTCGTGCGAGGCCGAGTGCTACGCAAATGGCTACCAGTATTGGGGGGAATGCGCAAGTGAATGTGACTGCCTGGACACCTGGGACCCGGTCTGTGGATACGATGGTAACACCTATTCGATTTCGTGCGAGGCCGATTGCTACGCGAATGGCTACCAGCACTGGGGGGAATGCGCAAGTGAATGTGGCTGCCTGGACACCTGGGACCCGGTCTGTGGATACGATGGCATGACCCATTGGAACTCGTGCGAGGCCGATTGCTACGCGAATGGCTACCAGTTCTGGGGGGAGTGCGCAAGTGAATTTGACTGCCTGGACACCTGGGACCCGGTCTGTGGATACGATGGCAACACCTATTGGAACTCGTGCGAGGCCGATTGCTACGCGAATGGCTACCAGTACTAGGGGGAATGCGCAAGTGAATGTGGCTGCCTGGACACCTGGGACCCGGTCAGTGGATACGATGGCATGACCTATTCGATCTCGTGCGAGGCCGATTGCTACGCGAATGGCTACCAGTACTGGGGGGAATGCGCAAGTGAATGTGACTGCCTGGACACCTGGGACCCGGTCCGTGGATACGATGGCATGACCTATTGGAATTCGTGCGAGGCCGATTGCTACGCGAATGGCTACCAGTTCTGGGGGGAGTGCTACACGTTGTTCTGCGATGCGTGTGCAGACTCGGACCGGGATTGTGAAGGTTACGCCGCTTGCGACGACGGGTACACTGCTGAGCCGGGTGATTATTGCGTGCCAGGTTGCTCTCAATTCGCTCAATACATGTGTTTCGGGTGTTTTATCATTCCCACGAGTACTGCTCCTGCATGCAGCAGCGCCTCCATGATAGTCCTGTTGGTGTCAGCGTTGCTGCGGTGAGGGGTCCTCGCGGTAGCGCTGATCTTTCTCGTTTGCGCCGCGTGATCCGAAGAAGTAGCACTTGCATGAGCACAGATTTTCGGACGTCCACGTGGATCTGTGTGTTTGTTCCTTCTTCTGAGTCTTCTAGCCTGCACTGCGTGATGAGGATTGGAGGCGAGCAAGGAATGGCGCAGGAAGCGCAGGGAGGAGGAGGAGGACGACGAGGAGGACCCTGGACTGGTCCTTTCGCCACATTCCGCCCACGGGGCGTCAGAGCGGCGTTGGCCGCCCTGCCAGTTTTACATGGCGTCCTCTCCCTGAGGACCATGACTGAATGGATGTTGCTGCGCCACGGCTGGCAGTGCTCCGATTTGCACATCCGGTGTTTAATAGCTGTAACTGGGTATCCACGTCAGCCTGCCAACGGCTCGCAGTTCGTCCTCAACCCTCCCTCCTCCTCTTTCTCCCTCAGGCAAAACTGCACCCGCGATCCAGGGCGTCCTCCCGTACGCCGCAAGAGCCACGACGCAATGAAAGATAGACAGCTCTTCTGTCATAGGCCGGGCGGCTTGCCGGCGTTTGTAGTTAGTTTCCGCGCTGCGGATTTCACTCGAGACATGTGGGCAGACTTGATGGGGCGCAGCTTCGGCTGGGGGCACAAGGCATATAGTCCTCGCGTGTCCTTGGGGTGGGTGAGTCTTACATCTTACATCTGGAGTCGTCCTTTCCGCGGTCCGAACTAAGTGTCCGACCGTCGGTCCTTTCTACGTGCCCCGTGCTTCGCTGGACGGTGCTGCGACTGACCATGGGCAGCGCCACGCGTGCGCCGTGGAACGACTTTTTTTCGAGAGCGCGATATGCAGCTGCAAGCCCCAGCCTGGGCAACCGTAGCCCTCGCCCGGGATGCAGTTGCAGCCGCGCCAGATTTTGTTGTTCGGTGCCTGCAACCGCTGGCTGCTCGGGTGCTGCCATGCTGCTGCCACGCTATTGCCATGCTGCTGTCATGTTGGTGCCATGCCGTTCCCGTGCCATTGCCAAATTGTTGCGGGGCTATTGCGGTGATATTACCGTGTTGTTGCCATGCCATTGCCATGCTACTGCCATGCCGTTGTCATGCCGTTGTCATGCTGATGTCATGCTGTTGCGGAGCTATTGTCGTGCTATTGCCATGCTGTTGCCGTGTTGTTTCCACGCCAGTGCCATGACGTTGCCATGCTGTTGCCATGCCGTGGACATGTCGTTGCCATGCGATTGCCGCGCTGATGCCATGCGGTTGTCATGCTGCTGCCATTATGTTGTAATGTTGGTGCCATGTCATTGCCATGACCTTGCCATGATGTTCCCATGGTGTTGCCATGATGTTTGCATGCTGTGGCCACGCTGTGGTCATGATTATGTCATGCTGTTGCCACGCCGTTGCCATGCTGTTAACATGCTGTTACGTTGTTATCGCCGTACTACTGCCATGCAGTTGCCATGCTGTTGCCATAGTATTTCTATGCTGGTGCCATGATGGTGTCATGCTGTTGCCATGGTGTTGCCGTGCTGTTGCCATGCGGTTGTCATGATGTTGCCATGCTGTTGCGTTGGCCATGCTGTTGCCATGCTGTTGCCACGCCGTTGCCATGCTGTTGCCATGCTGTTTCGATGCCATTGCCGTGTCGTTGCCATGCTGTTGCCATGTTGGTGCCATGCTGGTGTCACGCTGCTGCCATGCTGTCGCCGTGGTGTTGCCATGCGGTTGCCATTATGTTGCCATGCCAGTGTCATGCCGTTGCCATGCTGTTGCCGTAGTATTGCCATGCTGTTGCCATGAAAAGGCCATGCTGTGTCCACGATGCTGTCATGGCGTTGCCATGCTGGTGCCATGCAGGTGCCCTGATGGTTCCATGCTGCTGCCATGCTGTTCCCACGCTGTGGCCATGCTGTTGCCCTGCCATTTCCATGCCGTTGCCGTGCTGTCGCCAAGCGCCATACAGTTGCCATGTCATCGCCATCGCCATTCCATCGCACTGCCAATGCGTGATGACTTGCGGGACGGCTCGCGGGCTGGTGTTGGCAGGTCCACGCGGGACTCAGAGGAGTAAGGCGTCAGGAATGTCTTGTACGGTACCCCCTCAAGTTGCGCAAGGCAACGCTTGCGCCATGTTATTGCCACGCTACCACCATGCAGACGCTATACTCGTGCCGCGCAGTTGCCATGACATTGCCATGGCGTTGCCTTGTCATGGCCTTAACAATTACCCCTCGGACGTGCGCAAGCCAGGGGTGCTAAATGCCCTGAACACATACCCCCCCCCTTCACTTGCACAAGTCAACGCCATTGCCATGCTATTGCCATGCTACCGCCATGCACACCCCAAAATCTTGTCACGCGGTTGCCATACTATTGCCACGCAGTTGCCGTGCAGTTGCCATGCTATTGTCATGAGATTGCCATGCAGTTGCCATGCGGTTGCCATACGATTGCCATTCAGTTCCCATGCGATTGCCATGCAGTTGCCATGATATTGCCATGCAGTTGCCATGCCAGTGCCATGCGAGTGCCATGCAGTTGTTATGCTAAGTTCATGCGATTGCCATGCATGTGCCATGGAATTAACATGCTATTGCCATGTGATTGCCATGCTATTGCAATGAGGATGTCATGCTAGTGCCATGCAGTTGCCATGACATTGCCATGTTATTCTCATGCGAGTGCCATGTCATTGCCGTGCGATTACCATGTAGTTGCCATGCTATTGCCGTGCAGTTGTCATGCGTTTGCCATACTATTGCCATGCTATTGCCATTGAGTTGCAATGCTAGTGCCGTGCCATTGCCAGTTTATTGTCATGCGAGCGCCATGCTATGGCCGTGCGACCGTCACTCAGTTGCCGTACGATTGCCATGACGTTGCCATGCGATCGCCATACGATTGTCGTGCAGTTGGCATACTAGTGCCATGCGAATGCCATGTCGTCGTCGTCGTGGTCGTCGTCGCCGGGGGCCCCGGACGCTCCGAGACGCATTGTGCTTTGTCACATGGTGCGCAACAGCGGATATGGCATTCATTTACACACGTGGTGGGCGGAGCCATTCGTGACGATATGGCCCCAGTATTGTGCGACCCGTATAACAGGCGAAGTGGGCATGGGCATCCGAAGCGAAGTGTGTTCGGCCATTGTGTCACATAGTGCAACCATCAATCACAGACTTCCTGTTGCTATGCGGCATTGGACCACCCGGCGGCGTCACAATAAAACTTGTCCCAGCCTGCAGAGGCATCTAAAAGGCAATTTGGGCAATTCAAGGCAGTTCGTGATACACGAAAGGTTGATAGAAGGCAACGGAATGCTACTAGACCGAGGCGGCATATGCTAGAATGAGCTTCCCAAAAGACTTACCGAATGCCCGTTCGCCCCTAGGACTGCATGCTCTACGTCGACGACGTGCGGATCACAGTGGGCGCCGCTGGGCGGGTACCGCAGCAACCCGCGCTGCGGGCGGCGGCGGCCGCCGCGGCCGCGGGCGGCGCGGGCGGCCAGCTGGGCGCCGCGCCAGGCGATAAGGGCCCCAAGTGGCACCATTCAGAGGGGAAACAAGTACTGGCACCGTTTCCGTTGCCTCGTTTTCGTTTTTTGGGGTCTCCTGGGGAAACTTCGTCGCCACGGGTTGATTCGCTGGGACAGTTTGGTCAGAAACCACCCCAGGGGAGGTCATGGAATATCGGTATCGGTACCTGTGGTCCCCCTTAAGCATTGAGATCTTCGGTGCGGTGCGATCGAAATGGGTGAACAAAACAATGGGTTCGAATACCGAATGCGTTTCCTGCCTATTCTGAGCAGGTTTCGTTGTCGGTGTCGTCGCGTGCGTCGTGCGTTTGAGATTAATGGTCGCCTGCCCAACAGCGGCTGCTGTTGGTGTTGGAAAACAGTTGTTCTTGGGCATTGTGCCAGTTTTCCCGTGCCCAACCTGGGCGTCCAAAGGCTCAGGCGGGCGCCAAGACTATATATATAGCTATTAGAATACGCCTACACATCAGACATACATGCAGACATACATAGATACATAAATCCATATGCATGCATGCATACATACATACATCTATATATACGTACACACATCCATGCATGCATGGTTGCATATATGTGAATGTGTATGCGTACGTACACACGCACATATACACATAGTTATATATACATATACATATATATGTATGTATAAATATAAACACCATCCGTACATTCATATATACACATGCATACACATATACAGACATACGTAATTGCATACATTCGTTTTCTCGTGCATCCATACATATCTAATTGAATATGCATGCATGTATGTAGATGTGCTCGTATGTTTGTGCGTGCATATACATACAGACAGACATACCAGTATTGTTTTCTAGCCATGGATACATTCATCTGTGTATACACATATACAGGTATGTCTTCATATGCGCATGTATATCTCGGTTTACGAGGACACGGGGCCTTGAGCCCGGGCCTCGACAGCGCAGGCCCGTTCCACAAGGTTTCCCAGGCCCGTGCCACAAGGTTTCCGAGACGTCCCAAGAGGTGCCCCAGGCGGCCCCAGCGGGCCCCGAGTCGCCGACCAATGTTTCCCAGAAGCCATTGATGTCCTCCAGGTGGCCAAAAACACGCCCAAGACACTCCAAGAAGCATCCAGACGGCCGCGAACGCCCTCAAGACGCTCCAAGAGGGTTCCAAGAGAAACCTCAAGAGGGTCACAAGAAGCAGAACGCAGCAGTTGTCCAATCGTTTTTGCATGGTTTTAGCGTTTTTGCCTTTTCCATGTCCTGGCGCTCCAAGACTAGAGGCCCCGAAACAAATCTTCCAATACTGCTTAAAAGGGACCCCACGACGGCCCAAGAGACCTCCAAGACGGCCCAAGAGCACTTCAGGAACCGGCCAAGATCGCCCCCACAGGGGGAGCACGAACAAACAATGCGACCTCTCCGCGCACCAGGACCCCCAGAAGGCCCAACACAGGCCCCCAAGAGACCTCCCAGG